AGCTAGCTGCCCCTGCCCCCTTCGCCACGGCCCTACCATGCTTCCCTGCCTTCCACGTGGCCTTCCCGGCATCCCCAAGGCCAACTTGCGAAGGCAGGGGAGCGGAAGGCTGCCGCTCTGTTTCTGCAAAGGCAGAGCGCCCCCCCCCCAACTGCAGGGGGATCCAAAGAGAGGAGGAGGATGCTACAGAAAAGGCTGCCTTCCACCTGGGCTCTCGTGCCAGCTCCATGGGGCTTCGGGCTCCAAAGCAGCCCACTGGCTTCCCACCCAGACACCTGCCTGCTCCTCAGCCACTGCAGCGCTTACCACCGGCAAAGAAGTGGAGCAAGAGACAGAAGCCACTGGAGGGTGGGTGTGGGGCAGCCCCTCACACATGGAGCGGGCCGTGGCCAAGTCTCCTTCCCCCTGGAGCGTCGGATTCCACAGGCCGAGTTCCCAGAGTAGCGCCAGTGGTCAGACAGGGCAATCTTCAAAGAGAGCAGGCAGGAGCCTAAAATGTTGGTTGCTAAGCAAGAGTGTTGTTAAGTGAGTTTCACCACATTTTACAAGTTGGCCATGCCCAAATTTTTGAAACCCACCCCTGGCGGCCTGTAGTATATGCCTATAGCAATGTCATTCTTTTTTCCTTTTATATTGACCCATATGGATTCTAGGTGGTTTTCATCCTTGGTTTTATGGATTTCTGTAGAGATGTAGTGATCTTTTATATATAATGCAACTCCACCTCCTCCTTTGTTAGGTCTGTTTTTTTTAAATAGTTTGTATCCTTCCATCAGGACATTCCAGTCATAAGTTTCATCCCACCAGGTTTCAGTAATGGCAACTATATCATATCTGCCTTCATGTACTAATACTTCAAGTTCACCCTGTTTGTTACCTAAAATTTGAGCGTTCGTGTATAGGCATTTGAGTCCACTATGGAATTTAGGTATGTTTCTTATATCTCCTACTTTGTAACTGGGTTTTCCAGCTTTTCCATCACTCTCTACTTCATTGTGTTTTTCCTTTTTTCTTCTTCTTTCTCTTTACTCTCTACCGCCTTATATGATTGGTTATCTAGTGTTTTACTACTATTAGGTTTTTACTAATAAGACTCTAGTGTTTGAGCACTTTGAAAATAAAATTGAAGCTTATAAACCCAGTCCAACTGATTACTTACAACTGATCCTGGAACTCTGGATGCCATTGATTCTTTGCTGAGTTCTGGAAGTTTCTCATTCCATATTACTTAGAACAGGGGAGTCTTTTCCTTCCCCCAGACAGACCTTGAGATAAGATGTCTCTAGCAAAGTTCTTTCTGGCTAGTTAACTTCAGGACAGGAGTGGGGCAGGGGTGTAGGAGAACTGTTTCATTTAATTTAGCCAAATGAGCCTCCTAGCTTTCCTTACTAGAGGGGGAAGGTTGTATTGCCTGTACATCAATTCTGCTCTATTGAGGAACCCTGAATTTTGACTTGTTCGAGAAACTTGTTACAGGATAAGTTTTTAATAACTTTTTTTCTTTCAGAACACACCAACACAAAGCATTGTAAAACGTCCAAACCAGCAGCTCCAGTCATCTACCCCAAGGAATAGTAATTTGCGTGAATTGCCAATAGCACCTTTGCATTCTGTTGAGGCTGCTAACAACCAACGAACTTCAGCTCCTGCTGCTCAAGTGAAACCTATTACTAGCACACCACCTGTTACACGGCCTGTTACAGGTGTGAAGAACCAACTGGGAAGAACTGAGACCAAGCCTAGAGCAGTTATGCCCATCACTCAACCTAAGACGCAGATCCAATCTGAACCAGAGGTAGGGGTTCTATCTTGCAAAGGCCCATTGGGTACTCATCTTCAATTCAGCAGTGGGTTTGAACAAAGGTCACTTGAAATAGATTATACTCTTCTGTACTTGTGTTCTAGTTTTATTACCTGCCAAAATATGTTCTTTTTAAATGTTCAGAATTTTTTTAAAAAAGATTTAGCCTACTATTCAGGAAGAAGAGGTGTTTGTTAAGCCTCAATGACTATTAAATCTGAAAGGTACTTTTGTACATACATAAAAAGTCAGATTACTATTTTGCATATGTCTAAAAGTATACAGCGTGAAGTATCCTGTTGCATTGCAAATGGAAGCTAAGGAAAACTTCCCACCAATTCTAATGTGGAGCTAGTTCACTCCCTGTGATGCACCATGGATAAGTGTGTCAGCGTGAACTAAACGAGCTAGCGCTCTTTGGCAGCCAAATTACTACTTTGTACTAACATTGTAGTCTGTTGGCTAATTTTAACATCGGCATAAGATGATAGATAGATAGATAGATAGATAGATAGATAGATAGATAGATAGATAGATAGATAGATAGATAGATAGATAGATAGATAGATAGATA